TCATTCCTTTTTTTCCCTTTTTTCCCTTTTTTTCCCTTTTTTTTCCTTTTTTTCCCTTTTTTGAAAATTTTCCCCTTTTTTCCCCCCTTCTTTCCTTTTTTTCCTTTTTTTTTTCCTTTTTTTTCTTTTTTTCCCTTTTTTGTGTTATTTTTTTCCCATTTTGCTCCCTTTTTTTCCCTTTTTTTCTCTTTTTTCCAGGGTAGTCATGCCGACGGTCGGTGGCCCCGGACCCGTCGGCGCCGACCGGTCGGCGACTGGTAGGAATCGGCACCCCGCATAATTTTTTTGTTTTTTTTGGCGGGGCCTGCTGGGCCGGTAGCGCGCCGTCGACCTTCCCGACGGACTTCTACCGACGGTAGCGTGCCGTCGGCCTTCCCGACCGTCGGCAGGGCCTTCCCGATGGAGTTTCACGAAGTGGAGCGACAGTCTCCAGCTGCGCCCTGGGTTGAAGCTCCGCCTGCATCGCCGCGCCTGAAGAAGCCGCCCCTCCATATCTCCGCTTCGTGATGCCGCCCCTGCCTTGACACAGGAAGTATGTCGGCAAGACCTGGCCCGATTTTGTTTTTTTCCCTCCTCTTCTTCTCCTTCACCGTTTGTGTTCTTCCTCTTCTTCTTCTTCCTCCTCCTCCTCTCCTCCATTTCTTCTTCTTCTCTCTCTCTCTCTCTCTCTCTCTCTCTCTCTCTCTCTCTCTCTTCTTCTTCCTCTTCTCCTCTTCTCCTCTTCTTCTTCATCCTCCTCTCCTCCTCTTCTTCTTCTTCCTCCTCTCCTCTTCTACTTCTTCCTGCTCTCCTCCTCTTCTTCTTTTTCCTCCTCTCCTCCTCCTCTTCTTCTTCCTCCTCTCCCGCTTGGAAAATCGTTTTTTTTTTTCTCCTCTTCTTCCCGTCCCCACTGAAAGCACGGTTCTTGACATTTCGTTAGGGTTCCGTACCTCTAACCTTTCTATTCTTCCTCCTCGTCGTTTTCTTCTTCTTCCTTCTCCTCTCCTCCTCTTCTCCACCTTCTCCACCTCTCCTCTCTCAGTCTCTCTCTTCTTCTTCCTCTTTTCCTCTTCTCCTCCTCCTTCCTCCCCTTCTCCTCTTTTTCTTCCTTCTCTCCTCCTCTCCTGCTTGGAAAATCATTTTTTTTTTGCTCCTCCCCTTCTTCCCGTTCCCACTGAGAGCACGGTTCTTGAAATTTTGTTAGGGTTTCGTACCTCTTACCTTTCTATTCTTCCTCCTCCTCGTTTTCTTCTTCTTCCTTCTCCTCTCCTCCTCGTCTCCATCTTCTCCACCTTCTCCACCTCTCCTCTCTCAGTCGCTCTTCTTCTTCTCTTCTCCTCCTTCCTCCTCCCCTCCTCTCCTCTTCTTCTTCTTCCTCCTCCTCTCCTCCTCTTCTTCTTCTTCCTCCTCCTCTCCTCTCTTCTTCTTCTCCATGTCCAGCGTTAGCTGTAGTTTGGCAATGTAGTTGGAAATCGAACATTGCTGGTGTGTGAAGTCAAGTTTTTTTTTTTTTTTTTTTTTTTTTTTGAAACAGGAAATCAGCAACAGGGCCGTTTACAATTTCTTTGTCTTTTCCAAACTTGGAGAGCGGCCTGCGGGGCCTGCACCGAACTTCCCCCCCCCACATTCTTCTCCGTATCTTCGTCTTCTTCTTCCTCTTCTACTGTCTCCTCTTCTTCATCTCCCTCCTCTATTTTAAAGGCAAGATGTCAGCGGGTCAGGGCGGCAGGGCCAGGGAGCCGTTCAGGGCTGTGGAAGGAAACGAGAGGGAATAGCTGTTGCTGAAGCACAGCATATGGCAATGGGTCGACCAGGGGCAGAAGAACGTTGGCAGGGCAAATGGGTCATGGAGGATGCGGTGCAGGTTGTGCTCCAAGGAGCTTGATGGGGCCATCAATCGGGCCGTCAATCATTTCATCCAACCATCAGACGGCTCCCGGTGCAAGCATGTCAACGGGGAGACCTTGTACGCCATTTACAAGGCACAAGGAAAGAGCAAGATCCCACAGAAACTGTTGAGCAGACTGGATGCCCACATGCGGGAGCTTGGGTACCCGTCCTCGACACCGATTGGAATGGGCCTGGAGGACGAGGTCGTTGAGGATGGTTGTGAGGAGGATCCTTCTGGGGATGTGCCGTTAGCGGAGGGCAGCAGGCTTGAGCCAACACCTGCAGGAGATGGTGCAGCAGCGGATCTCCTACCATGACCTCCAAGCAGCAATGCTTCCAGGCAACAGACGTCGATGACCAGCTACTTGGTCGATGAGCTGCAGAGGGAGATGAATCACGCGGTTGCACAATTCTTCTACAAAAATGCAATTGCGTTCAATGCAGCGCGCTCTGATGCCTACAAGAAAATTGAGAAGGTCATGGGTGACGCAGCCAGGGCAAAGAAAGTGCTGACGCTGCCGTCTTACGACACATTGAGGACTGATGAGCTGCAGGGAAGCTACAAGAAGACTGACACCAACATGGATGAGATCAGGTCCACATGGCCTAAAACTGGATACACTCTCATGACGGATGGCACGACCACAACCAGCAACAGGCCGGTGATCAACTTCCTTGCCGGAGGAGACAAGGGTGCAGTGATGGTGAAGAGCATGGATATGGAAGGGAAGGACAAGTCAGCACCGGCCTTGGCTAAGATGTGGGAGGGGGTGATCAGGGAGTTGGGTGTGAAGAACATCAGCGCAGTATGCACGGACTCTGCACAGGTCAACATTTCTGCTAGGAACATCCTTGCAAAGCATCCTGACCCTGAAATACGACAGATCCCGTGAGTGCCTTGCGCATGCCACATTTGCAACCTCCTCATGGTGGACATTGCCAGTGTGCCGTGGGTCGCGGAGGTGATTGCACAAGGTAGAGACATTACACTCTTCGTCAAGAGGCATCAGAGGCCTCTTGCCATGTTCAGGAGGAAAGGGAAGCAGAGGAGGGTTGAGGCGGCTGCACGAGGAGACAAGAGCAGTGGGAAGGCATTGGAGCTCATCACACCGGGGGAGACCCGTTTTGGACAAGACTGCAGCTGATGGAGACTGTGTTGATGGACACAATGTGCAGCAGCAAGTGGGATGCGGCCCCGTGGGAGAAAAGCAAGACAGAACGGGCACGGTCATGCAGTGAGCTCGTGCGCAGTGTGGAGTGCTGGAAGACGGTGGATGAGGCTATTATGAGGCTGTTAAACTGCTGGCGCCGGTTTACAAGTTCATGTGGACCATGGACAGCGGCGGCCAAATGGGTCCTCACATATGCAGTCTTGGTGTCACTTTGGAAAACAGAATGAAGAATGCTCCTATGGACGATGACACCAGGAAGGTGGTGATGCAGAAGGTGAAGCAGCGCATGGAGATGATGGCGCTTCTCGTGCATGCAGCAGGACATATGTTGCACCCTGCAAACCGTTCTGCTGATCTGTTTGACAACCTGGAGGCCCCGGCTATACACAACACTTTAGCCCACATTGCGACGATTTATCCAGCTGGGACGCAAGCGTATAGAGAATGCTGGGATTCACTGTTGAGCTTCCACCAGCGGGACCCGGGGTGGATGGGTGAGAACTCAGAGGAATACCTGTCCAGCATGAGGATCTCGATGGCACAATGGTGGATGACTTATGGAAAGAAACACATCAAGTTGCAGGGCATTGCCATCAAGGTCCTCAGCATGTGGACCACCACGTCCCCATGCGAGAGGAATTGGTCGACATTCGACCTCGTGCACACCAAGAGGCGCAATAAGCTGTCTCCTGAAACGCTGGAGAAGCTCGTCTTCATGCATTGGAACACCAAGCTTCTTCAAATGTCGCGGTTGAAGAGAGGTTATGTGAACACCGAGTGGCTCGACCGGGAGACTCCGCAGGATGTGGCCCCGCATGACGGATTTATGCAGGATGGGGAGTACGACCCCGAGGATGTGGCGAGACGGGCCGCAAATTAGTCGAGAGCAGGCAGTCACTTATCTAAGGCAACGATGCTTGACATTCAGCCTATTCTAGACGAGGTTGAGGATGACGGAGCATGGTTGGCTGCTCAGACTTACACACCTCCTCCGCTCAGAGCGGACCATGCCAGGGTGGTGGAGGATGTTTCAGCGGATTCGGACGATGAGGAGGAGGAGGATGAGATAGCTGATTTGCCTCCTCAGTGTAGCAGGGCGAGGATGACCACGTCACGCAGGAGCAGGGAGATGACAATTTGGTTGGTGGTGTTACCGCTACTCCTGCCACCCGGGTTGACAGAAGTGCAGTTGGTGGTGCAGGTTCTTGTGTGACCACTTCTATTGGTCATCATGCATCTGCAGCCGTGGCTGTTGGTGGGAGATCAGCATTGCAACGTAGCACTTGTGTTGGTGGCACGAGTTCAGCTGCTGATCATGTTCATGGAAGCACTGCAGTTGGTGGGAGTTCGACCGTGCACAACAGCAGTTTTGGTGTTCCTTGTAGTCTGGCAATTGGAGTGGACGGTGGTGTTGCTGTTGGTGTGACCGTGAGTGATACTGGTGCAGGTTGCCCTGAGGACACAGCGGATGTGCCTGCAGGGAAGGCCAGTGCTGATCTTGATGTCGACATGAGTGACGCTGGCAGAGAGTGTCGTGAGGACACCACCACCATCCCACCTGCAGCACATTTGTTCGCTTCACTTATCAATTTCATATCCCCTGAAGATTACACGATTTCACCATTGAGTTCGCCCCTCCAAACGGACAGCGAGGACAACAATCCACCTCGGGAAAGATTGACTCTCTCGCGTGTCCCACGGTTCGATGAAGACAGCACGCCCTCACCAACTGCAGTACACAGGGGGATGAACCCAAGTGATGGACAGCAGCCTGCGGTCGAGGATTGTGCAAGGATTTCCCGGAAGAGAATGTCCCCACCTGAAATTAACCAAGAGGTTGTGCACACGGTAAAGAGCATGGCTGGACGGAAGAAGGGATCGAAGAACACCGAAGTGTCGAAGAAGATGGATGTGTCAAAGAAGAAGGACAAGTCAAAGAAAAAGGAATGGCAGAAAGAGAAGGACGCGTCAAAGAAGCAGGACCAGTCGAAGAACAAGGACGCCGGAGAAGGCCCCTCGGATTCTGTTCGCCGACCAGTTGGAAGACCACGACGAGCTCGGGCTGAGCCCGACCCCGACCCTTTGGAAATGAAGAGAGCTATCATCAGAGCGGCAAAGGCGTCGAAAGCACTGAAATTGAAGAAGAAATTACAAGCTGCTCGCCATTCGCCAACAAAAAGGGGTAGAAAGAGGCGGAGGGTCGTGGATGACGATTCTGCTTCTTACTCATCTACCATTCCAGCGTCCTCGACTTCATCTTCCGATGAGTCGTGCACCTCCTCTAGTGGCAGCGACAGCAGCCGCAAGTGATACTTGTTTCGTACATGCCCTTAGAGAGAGAGAGAGAGAGAGAGAGGGGGGGGGGGGGGGGGGGGAAGGGGAAGAGATTCTATTTTAGGTACTTTGTCGTGGGGACGGAATGACATGCCTTGTCGTTTGATCTGTTTTACATGTTGGCTTCTCCATGTCCAGCTTATGAACTTCTGTTCTCGAAGTGTGTCCCATCTTTACTTTTGTTCTTGAACACCCCAAACACCCTCTGTCCGCCTCCCAGAACATCCTCGACCCCCCAAAGCACCCGCTGAACAACCCCTGAACACCCCCAAAACACCCCC